GCATAGTGACAAGGGTGCTTTCCCTAGAGCACGCTGGGGCTTAACTATTTTATTTTATTTACAATCTTTTTAATTTTCCAGCGCCGGTAAAATCACTAACTTTGAAAAAAGTGGGAGGGGGTAAACATGGGAATCTTAGGTAGTCGAGACGAGGCGGGTCCAGGGGAGCCGGAAGGGTGGAAAAACAATGGGCCAAAACGGTGTAGTAGGGTCCATGAGCTGCACGCGGCATCTGATTCAATTGGGTGTTACAAGTGTTCACATCCCATCATTACTTTGGCGTCGTCTTGAGATTCCAAAAACAAAAGGCCGAAAAACGAAAATAAATTTCTCCTTGTTTTATGCGGCCATGAGTTTTCCGATTTTCATTTCTGAGGCTCCTCCAGATAAGATAAGATTTATCCATCATGCATTGTGCTCTGCTTCTTCTCCACTTCATTTCTATTAAGAATAATGGTAACCACAATTTATTTGAGATAGAATGTAGTGTTTTGACTGACTTTTAACAAGTTTTTCATTCTGAGAGACCTTTTTATTCTATACTTGAAATTTTATAGCTTATTTCATATAAAACATGCACTGTGTACCCTCAAAATCTCTTGTTATTCGATAAATATTTTTTTAAATGTATTCAAATAATATCATATAGCGTCCATATTCCTAAAATCATTGTTTCGTCACTGGTTTTACGTACATGATATCACGGGGTCTGAATGCTTCAATCCGGAGCATTATTCGCTGCTTCCACATCAGTTCTCAGAAAAAAAATAAAAAGAGGCATGTGGATGTTTTTCGTTCTCTCAAGAATTTCAGGGCAGAGATTAGGGCATATCTTGGCAGGAGCTGTTTCATTATTGCTCAAAGGAAAAAAATATCCTCCTGATATTATATCCTCCTAACTACTGTGCTTGCTGTTTGGTGAGCCAGTTGGTGCGGCATCTTCACTGTTGGACCCTGTGATGTGTCACGTCTTTGTGTGTCGTGGGCCAAGAGTTGACTGTATCTAGACCATAGTAAAACGCTTAACCAGACATTGAACTGTGTCTGCCCCTTGTCCTACCACTGTTTATTTTATTTATATCTGAATATAAATATAATAGACCAATAATGCTTTTACATCAGACTCCCCATGCGTGGTCGCCGTTGCTATTCGTACCTTGTAGTAAAAGTAAAAAGCACAAGATTAATTAATAATTTCGTAGAAAACTTAAAGAGGTTATTTGATGCTGTTTCGATATGTAATGTTATGTTATTATTTCAGGGTTGGTGACAAACGGTGATTTCGAAACGCCACCGATCACCGGCTTCCCCAAAGACGAGGCCTTGGTTGAAGGGCCCACCGAAATTCCTGGGTGGAAAACAAACGGCACCGTAGAGCTGGTATCCTCTGGACAGAAACAAGGTGCGATGATCCTCATTGTACCGCGAGGTGCACACGCAGTAAGATTGGGGAATGACGCGGATATCAGCCAGGAATTGACGGTCGAGAAGGGATCTATATACTCGGTCACGTTCAGCGCGGCTCGCACGTGCGCACAACTGGAATCCCTAAACGTGTCAGTGCCACCTGCATCACAGACCATAGACCTGCAGACATTGTATAATGTGCAAGGGTGGGACCCATACGCGTTGGCCTTTGAGGCACCAGAGGATAAAGTGAGGCTGGTTTTCTCGAATCCCGGCATGGAAGATGACCCTACTTGTGGGCCTATTATCGATGATATTGCGATCAAAAAGCTTTTCACTCCTGAGCGACCCAAAGGTACAATCTTGCTTTTGCCTGCGCGTTTGAATTTCCTTCCATAGACAACCACCCTTTCATGCACCTACCTCTATATAGTAGTACGTGGGGGCAGCGTTTAGCTTATGCTTTTTGACGTTTTGATTTAGATCAAGAGCATCCAATGTGTGGGGTCTTGCGCCTTTTTCTTTCTTGCTTGGGTTCTCCTCCTTTTTGTCAAATTGAATTTACATGCGATTATTACAAGGCACGTCAACCTAGGCAATTATAATGTTAGATGCCTTGATTGATAATTAAGGGATTGTTGTTTGTTCTCTCTCCTCAGACAATGCAGTAATTAATGGTGATTATGAGGAAGGTCCCTGGATGTTTAATAACGTTTCACTCGGAGTCCTGCTCCCAACCAAACTGGATGAGGAAACGTCGTCGTTGCCCGGTTGGATTATCGAATCATACAGGGCTGTCCGCTACATAGACTCTTATCATTACTCCGTTCCACAAGGCAAACGTGCCATTGAATTGCTCTCAGGTAAGGAAGGCATAATCTCACAAATGGTTGAAACAACACCCAGCAAGCCTTACACGATGTCATTTGCCTTGGGCCACGCCGGGGACAAATGCAAGCAGCCACTTGCAGTCATGGCCTTCGCCGGTGATCAGGCCCAAAATATCCATTACACACCCGACTCTAACTCCACCTTCCAGGTTGCTAACCTCAACTTCACAGCCAAGGCCGACAGGACCCGTATTGCATTTTATAGCGTGTACTACAATACCAGGAGTGATGATATGAGCTCGTTGTGTGGGCCAGTGGTGGACGACGTTCGGGTATGGTTTTCAGGGGCAAGGAGAAATGGATTTGGAGGGCTCGTTTTAGGGCTTGGGCTTTGGGTGTTTGTTTTGGTTCTGTTTTATTAAGCCGTGGGGGGGAGGTTTGATTGGGGAGAAAGAGCAGCAATTGCATGTTTATTATGTGTATGGTGTAGAATCTTAAGAGGTCTGGCATGGGTGTTTTGGTAAGCGAAAATACCCAAAGTCCATGTGTTTGTCGTTAGTGACCTTGCTGTTAGAAATGAGAAATCTGCCACCTTTTCTTCTATCATATTGCAATCTACCTTAATTGCCCGGTGGTAGCCGTTTGTATAGAAATTTGTTTCCGTTTTGTATGGAAGCTGATTTCTTTTCAGGTACGTTTAGTTTTTTTAATGGAAAATTAGGATTTCTTGAAAGGGAATTATTCTTTGATTTTTTATAGTGTAATTATTATTCATTAACTTGGTAAAAAAAAAAGAATAATTTTTTAATTATTGTTAAGAAAATATAGATTAAACAAGAGCTGAAATTAAAAAAATAATAAATTATTTTAAATTAAATAAAAAGATAAAAAAAGTTGATGATAAAGTTTTTTTTAAAATTAATTTATAAATTATTTTAAATAATATAAAAAGAAAACATTATATTTTAAAAATAAAAAAAGTTAAGCAGTGGTGAAATTAAAATAAAAAGTAATTAAAATAATGTGAATCAAATATGATAAATATAAAAGTTTTAATTAAAAAAAAATTTAAAAATAAATATTAATAAAAAAATAAGGTCAAAAGTTATAAAAATGAAATTCCATCAAATGGAATAAAGTTGAAAAATAAAAAAAAATCAAAATAAAATATATAATAATAAAAAGATTGAGGAATAAATTTGATATAATTAACAAAAAAACACAATATTTTATAAAAAAAATATGATATTTTTAATTTAAAAAAAAAAACAAAAAAAAACAACAGTCAGAGCTATCGTGCTCCAACGCACCACACCACTATGAAGAACTCGAAAAAATGCTTTGAACGTGGAAGCTGATGTTTGACTTATAGGAGGCAACACACATGTCATTTAATCTTTTTTTAAATAATATAAATAATAAATTTCTCCTAGGTCTACTTAGGAATTACAAAATAAAAAAAATGATGAAATGATGAAAAGCTCCTAGATATTAGTTTAACAAATTTTGCTTTTAAATAGTTATTTTATTTTATTTTTATTTTTAATTTCAAAAAAATATATTCTACCTAAAATAAAAAGAAAATATTTTTTTGAAAATGAAACCAAATATTTTTTATTAAAAAATATTTTTCATTGATAAATTTTTCTAATGATAAATAAATATTAAAAAATTAAAAAATTAATTTTCAAAAAATTATTTTATATAAAACAAATAAAACCTCAATCATATTGGTTAAGACCTGACATGAATGAATTTTAATACATGCTAACATAGTTGTCTTGTCCATGTATTTTTTAAATAATAAAAATATAAATATTTATAAGAAATATAATAAATAAAATTATAGATGGAAATGTATTATTTTTATCATAATTGTTTTTTATCCCTCTTCATGTAATGCTTTGGAAAAATTAACCATAATCCTCTTAAAATTTAATTATTTTTTCACTATGCTTCTATTTTTTTTAAAGATTATAATTTATATTCTAGGTCAATTCATCTTTTAAATTTAAATAAAAAAATCAATCATAATATATAATATAGCATAAACAATCAAAATTTGCTCCCTATAACACAATCTCAAATTAATTTTAAAATCTACTTGATTTCTTCCCTCCTATCTCATAATACAAAATCTCAAAATAAAATAAAATATAATTTTCCATGATTAATTGATTTCGCTTTTCTTCACTTGTGATGTGATTTCACTTATATTACAAGTTGTAAATCAATTATTCTTATTTTTTCAATACCTTAACAAATCCCAAATTTATTTTTCAAACCCATTTTTTCCCTTTAAATTGATTTTTCTCAATGCTTATAATATTCTTGTAATATTATAAATCATTGAATATAGTATAATGAGAATTATATAAATTATTTTTTTGATTTTTAAAATTGTTTTAACCCTGGATGTAAACCATAATTATTTATAAAAAAAATTGATAATATCATCATAAAAAAGTTAAAATTTTCTTTAAAATAATGGGATAATTGGAATTCAAGAATTAGGAAAAGGATATCTAAGCAAATGGCAAGATAAGGAAAATTTTCTTTTTTTTTTTTCAACAAGTAATAACATCGTTTGCCCTAATTTTTTTATATTGCACACAACAAATTGCCTACCTAGTCAGATAATAAGTAACATTCTATTAGCTTTTCCAGCCATTAAAGTGTTAGAGTTAGAGTTTTTTTAACCTAAAACCCAATTTTTATTTGTTTTACATAAAAATACCAAAATAAATAGTTGAAACCTTAATAAATTCATTTCAAACCTTAGACAAAAAAAGCTTATAGTCATTTTAAGAAACCAAAATTCAAGACAATAATAATAAAAAAAACTTTACAAGTTTTGATCTATTATTCTTGTCATGTTTAAAGAGAAACACCAAATCTATTGAGCTTTCCTTTCTATGATAAACTCATTACACTAAGATCAGATGTTTTTGTAGCTAGAATGTAGTTGTTTGTCACTTTCTCTCTCTCTTTTTTCAATGACTCCTTTTCTCCTCTCAAATTTTAGGAACATAAATGTAAACAAATAAATTTAGGGTTAGAATGTGAATCCCTTAAAACATAGGGATCAAAAAAAGTAAAACTTTAAGGACCAAACTTTAATTATCCATGCCCTATGAATAGTTTCACACCTAATGTTATAACCTAATTTTGGATCCCTCAAATTATTTTATAAAAACTTACATATTTTTATTAAAAATCTAAAAATATTGTTTTATAAAAGTTTTTGAACTACAACAGACCAAAATACTAGAAAAAGAGCTAGATCGGAATGTTTTGACAAGATAGGGTAAAAAAGGACTTAACAAAAAGAAAATTGAGGTTAAAATCCAAACTTGACAAAAATTAGAGAATCAATTGAGTTTAAAGGGTTAATTAAACTTCAAACAAGTTTAATTGACTTTTTTAATGATTTAAGTGAAGAAAAAGTAAGTTTGAAAGTTAATTGAAAAAATAAAATGAAAGAGAATTAAGTTCCAGAACTTAATTAAACTTCTAAGGGGGTTTGTTGATTCAATTGAAGAGAAACCAAATTTAGAGGTCAAATTGGAATCAATTCACAAAGATTGAAAAATTACAAATAAATTGAAACTTTGCAAGACTACTTAAAAAATTAAAAAATCAGAGGCTAATTAATGATCAAATTGAAGAATCTCAAAACTAAAGACCAAAGTGCAAAAAACACACGAGTTCAGGGATTTAAATTAATCAAGATTAAGGGATAATTTAGAAGAAATTAAAATTTTAATGGTTGATAGGGATCAATTTGCATAATCTTAAAACCAAGGACTAATTTGTAAAAAATGTTCAAATTAAAGTATTTAAATCAAGGTTTCTAGGGCTGCAATTACAAAAATTAAAAAGTTACAAGGTTAATTGAATGTGCATATACTAAAATTGAAAAGACAAGGACCGACTTGAAATTT